GGGGGGGGGGCAGTCTCAAAAAAACATTTTCTTGGCCTTTCGGGCCTCAGTTTGGTCTAAAAATAAGGGGGGGGCACAGATCCCTCCCCTGGAGCGGCCACTGACAATTTCCCCTTTTAATAGACTGAAAAGGTTGTTTGTTGTACAACAATACTTTGGGCAGCTGAACATATATTTTGAAGCATGAAGTTTGGGCATTGGACCATAAAGTGTTTTATTTCCTGTTGCTCAACAGACGTATTTCCTTTCTTCTGTGAAAAGAAATGTTCGATCATTTTTGTGGATGCTAACATTTAAAAGTTAACAGGAATTTTGTGCAACATCCCAGTTAGATCAGTAAACAGTTTCATCAATACTGAGGAGGGTGCTCCCTTATATGGCCTATACAGGGATGTGCCACTGGTCAGGGTATGGTTTTTTACCTCTCTGTCCTAAACAGGGTACATAATTTCGTTTTAGTCTGTCAACGGGGTATTGCCAGCTGCACGATTTATTTGATTTGCTAGATGAATTTTGTTTGTACTCCAGGTATAATAATAATACAATAATAGTACAAGAATTTATATAGCACCATTTCCGTGAGCTTAATGCAATGACCTGTATAACGTGAATTTGCTCTATAGCAATTGCCTGTAAATGGCTTAAATTAAAACGAGAAGACATGCATTTTGTCCTTTGTCCTAAACAGGGTAATAAAAATTGAGGTATTTGTCCTAAACAGGGTGCTTATTTTGTGTCTTTTAGCTGTTGTATAGATGAAGTGGCAGCAGAGCATGTGAACGCAGACTTGATCATCCATTATGGTAGAGCTTGTTTAAGCCAGTGAGTGTCAACTCAGCCTGTTACCTTAGATAGTGGGTGGCTCGAGAACTAACAGCTGAGACTTCTAGAAGAGGTCATGTTTCAGGTTATGGGAAGTACATTGTATGACCTTTATTAGTTCACAATTCTCTAGAAGGGGTTTTAATGTTAATGTAACAGCTATTTAAGGGGGTCACAGGTCGTAGTTTTCTAACAACGCTCTGATAGCTATTATCAAACATGCTTGGTGCCATTGTTGCTTGTCTTACACTGTATGTCCCTTTTTGATGGTACTTTACCATTATTGTTAGAAACTGAAGGAAAAACTAATGGAGGTTGTCATTTGTAGCAATTTTATTTTACGTGCTTATTCTTCATTGAGGGCTATGGTATTCAAAATCAGGAACCCAAATGGAATTCAAACTCCAGGCCTTTTACTTTGCAATATTGTTTCATTCAGCAGCACTGTGACTTTGACTATTTGGCAACATACTACTCCCAGAACACAGTGTTACAACAAGGCGAAATTTGATGCACAGGCCACCCCTTTAAAAAATCATTTGGATAGAGGTTTATTCACATGAACAGACACATCTACTTTAATTCATGGCCTATCCACTGTTTTCCTACCAAAGGTTGCCCAGTGCTCATAAATTTAAGGGTGGCAGCTAAGTTAACAAGGATTATATTTTGTAAATTGTTCTTTTATTAGGACTAGAAGGCTTCCAGTGTTGCATGTATTTGGTAAATGGCCAATCAGCATTCAGAATTGTTCAGAGCAGTTTCGACAGATGTTCCCAGATCCTTGTGTTAAGGTGCTGGTGTTTTGTGATGTAATGTACAGTCACTGTATTGGTAGGTATACTCATTAATACTCTATCTCCCGTATATCCTTTAAAATGGTGTTAACCCATTCGCCCCTGAACCGCCCGTGCAGATCCACGTCCTTTCTACCCTCTGTGACGTCATCAGTTTTAACGGTCAAGGACAACTTTGTCCGCTAACTTGTGCAGAGTGAAGAGATCTTTCAAACCATACCAGAATGAGCACAATTCAGTNTGATGTAATGTACAGTCACTGTATTGGTAGGTATACTCATTAATACTCTATCTCCCGTATATCCTTTAAAATGGTGTTAACCCATTCGCCCCTGAACCGCCCGTGCAGATCCACGTCCTTTCTACCCTCTGTGACGTCATCAGTTTTAACGGTCAAGGACAACTTTGTCCGCTAACTTGTGCAGAGTGAAGAGATCTTTCAAACCATACCAGAATGAGCACAATTCAGTCAAGGACACCGGAGAAAGAGGCAAAAAACCATGTAACATTGACCTGAAAATCTCCAATCTCCATCTGGATCAGAAGGCCATCAAGTGTACGACCTGTAAACTGGTTTGTGGTAAGTTTTAGCTCTTTATAGCACGACCGTGACCAGAAAACCACTTGACTAGCTTTAAAACGCGTTTTTTGGCAAAATCTCCAGGAGCGAATGGGTTAAAGTGCTGGGATTAATTTGCAGCTGCAGATATAGGTGAGGGTTCCCAGTATTAGGGTTAGGGTTAAGCTTCAAGTTACAGGAGCTTTAGTTAGACCCGCAACACAAATAATATTGAATCCTCCAATCTGAAACTGGATTGTTTGAAGTGTTCTGTCACCAAGGTTTCTATTGAAAAGTAGTTTATTTAAAAAAATTAGTCCGTAAAAGGTCTCCTTGAGCCTTAGAAAGTGGAGGAAAATTGACATTTTAAAATATGAGTTTTAAGGGCCTATACAAACTGTACAAACCTATACAAACAAGTGTATTGTAAAGCCAAAAGTGGAACTGTCTGAGGAAATGGAGTTGAGAGGGCTGTCAAAGGTCAGAAAATATTTCCAGCTTCCAAGTGTGCAATAGTATAATAGTGCCATGAAACCAATGGACACACCCTCTTGATAGAAATGGATTCCTCATTAAAAGGCTTTTATGATGCATCCAGTTCATATGTGCAAGGGATGGTTTATAAAAAGAAAATTATTGACTTTGAAAAAGTTCCCGCCTTGGGTCAAATGAAACAGGATGTGTCAATGGGCTAGTTGTGCGTGTCAGTGAATGTTTAACATGTGACTAGAATATTTCTGAATTTATGTTATTATGTCATATGGATGCCTAGCGTGCAAGAGTAGATGCCGAAAAGGGTGTCTGCTCTCATAGGCAAATGGTTGCCAGCTAGTATTTTATATTTTCTTATTATTGAGGCAAACATTATGACATCATAAAAATCTTTCAAAATTCCTTCCTATTAATTTTTTTATTATTTCATTCAATATTAAGTAGTGCTTGTCTTGTCAATTTAGTAACATCTACAGCTGAATTTGTGTTTATTTTTTTACTTGTTTCAGGAGAATTAGAGAAGTCTATCAAAGGTTGTTATCCAAACATAATATTTTCCAAGCTGGTGTATTCCACTTTTGAAAATGAACTCAAAGGAGAAAATTCTGCAGACACAACAAAGATGAATGAGATGCATTCTGTTGAGGGCAAGGGTGAACAAGGTGATACCAAGAAACGTGAGAAAAATTACTTTAACAAGTGAGTAATGGATGCATACTTCTCAAAAGTCAAAATAAATAATTCTTTTCTGTGAAGGAGATCTGAATTTACCAGTGCTAGAAAATTTTGCAAACAAGTTTTAGTTTTTTTCAAGAATTACTAGCATTTAAGAGTCTAAATCTTACACTTGACACAGTGCTTTGTGAATGTTCATAACAATATATAGCCCTAAGTGCTCTTTCTTGGATATGTGCTAATCATCTAGTCTCGCTAACACGGCAAAAATGCCACATGAGATGACAGTAAGTTAAATACAGGAGAACAGCTGCCTTATATATCTGTAACTTATAAAGGAAGCCTGTAGTAGTTCTCATCTGTCTTGTAGGTTTGGACGTGAATTTAGGCTTCCATTGGAGACGCAGTTAGAGGATTACAGTATGTTTTATATTGGTGGTGAAAGTTTGTGTTTAACAAACTTAATGATGTTCTATAACAAATGTCAGGTATGTTGAAGACTTTAAGTGTTATTATTTTGAACTAATATTTTGAAATTAGTATTAAGAAATTATTAGCCTGTACACAGACGTTGTTTCATTTTTCTTTTCATGTTCTTTGCAAAAGCATCGGCGAGCCCTTGTGCTGGCTGTAAATAAATCCCATGGTTTATATTTTATCAACTGCACTCGACGGCCTTTAAAGAGAAAATAGAAGGTCTGTGAACAGGCTAAGAAATTATTAATTCTATAACGTAATGATTTGATTATCTTGAAAAAGTAATACAGGAAGCAAAGATTCTTCTTAGACTGAGATAGCCAGTAATCAGTTTATGGGTAATTAAGTGGCCATAATCATTCACAAATAAATTCTTTGAGATTGTCTTGGTATGAGTTTTCTTGCAAGTGTAATTAAGTGGCTAAATTGACACTAATTTAGGATCATTGAATGTATTTTTAAAGACAAAAACAATGACTCACTGGGCAAAGTTTCTGGAACACCAAGGAAACAGCCTGTTTCTAACCTGCCTCAGCTTGGGAACTTAATGAAGGGTTTAATTTACAGGTGTTACTCACATCTTAACTCCTATTCTGTACCCTGCAGGTTAGTAGTGTGCTGATCCTTGATTGCAGTCGATCATAAAAATCAAAATCTTAGACCGACGCAATAATTGATTATGGCAGGAGAAAACTAAAATTTGCTGTTGGCAAATGAACATGTTAGAAATTTGTGCGTTTTCTTTCTAATGGTCACACAATTAAGGAGGAAAGAGAATTTGATCACCTGAAATCAAAGAAACAATTCTGAACTCCAGGTGAGGATCAAACTGACAACGCTCCAAGTTCTAGATCAGACGCTCTCATGGCTGAGCAGCTACAGGAAACCTATGGCAAGCAGGGAGAAATTAATCCACTGATGTCCGCTAACTGATATATTTGGTACATTTCTGCTTTGTTCTAAAACATGTTATAGGGGCCATCCACATCCTAAATAAAATTCTTGTAAGAAAATTTCCGATTATTATCAATTTTCAATTTGGGCTTCTCATTCTGACGATTTCCAATGTTATGAAATGTCCGTGTATTCCCAACACTACTGTAGGTACAGCCCCACCTACACCCTGCAAACTGAACCCTTAGAGGATAATGTTTCTGTTACTTTGTTTCTATCGTAGTTTTATTCATATGATGCCATTACTGATGTAGGAAGGAAGGAGATGGTTAGTGTTAATAAAGCTCTCATGAAAAGGTGGGTAACTTGGTGCTTAGCATTGCTGAAAGACTTGTAATCTTTTCTACCACAAACTTCAAACCTCCTTATTGTGGATACCAAAAGAGAGAGCCAACTTTCCACACTACAGAGGCGTGCTTGTATAGAAATAGGAACTGTGTGAGAATTGCTTCCTTTGGAACAAATAAAACCATCCATGATAGGGAGATCATCCATATTATGCAGGTGTCCATAAGAAGAGATTCGACTGTCTTCAATGTAAAAATCCTTAATGACTGTGCCCAAATAATGAAATGATTGCTTCTTCAACGGCTAAGGTCTTTAACATTAACTTTGTAGACTGCTATTTTTATGCTAGTTAAAATTAGTTCTGGTAATGAAGGGCTAAAGGTGTACAACCTAAACTTTCCTTGTCTAATATAAATAGGTATTATATGATTGAGAGAGCTAAGGATGCACAAGTGATTGGAATCGTAGTTGGAACACTAGGTGTAGGTAAATATGGCTTATTATTCTAGTGATAAAATGTAAATTATAGCAATTTGATTATATCAACAATTCAGAGACAAAGAGCCACTTGTTGTGTTCTCCAGAAAATTTAAAAGAGAAGGAGTAAAAAATTAAGTAGATGGCAAAAGAGTAGCTCCATTGAAATAGGGAGTGCCTGCAATGTGGTACAGCTGCATATTATGGGTTAGGCATGGGAGGGATTTGCCTCCCTTAAATTGGGGAGTTTTAATTTTGGAGAACCTGGAAAGTGACTTTTAGTACATTTTGAATGACCAGACTACAAATTTTAGCTAGCCATGAGGTTAGCTCCTTTATATACCCACATTTACTTTTATTTTATATATCATATGTTTGTTTTTATTGAACAAAAGTCTTGAGAAACAAATAATATGGATTTATTTATTTGCAGTTAAAAGTTATTTTCTCTGATTTGCTGGCGCTTCTGTGTTTGGTGATTTTCACCAATTGCCAAACCCTTGTAAATAATTTGCAAAAGAAAAACTTGTTAGTTTGTAAATTAATATATTAAACATCAAATGGTTGCTGATCATGGTCATGTCTTTTTCCACAGCTGATTACTTACAATCAATTGAACGACTTAAAAAGGTTATAAAGTTGGCAGGAAAAAAGGTACCTTCCACTTGATTGAAAAGGGATTTCTAAGAGATAATCATATTGCCATTATTTTATATTTCGTATCTCAAGATTGTTTTGTTATCAAGATAGGACTTTCTGTAAAGTATCATAAATTTAACTATGTATTCATGATAGCTATAAATCTGCAATAGCTTTGCATTTACTTTCTCAAGAATTTTTACATTCACTGCATGTGTTGGCCATTAAATGCACCTGTAGAATCTATACTAAATTGTGGTTTTAGTTCTTTGTTCTGTAAACTGTGAAGCCTTCTTTTCAGTCTTTCAAACCACCCTTTTAGTTTCGTTTTATTACAGAATGATATGTATTTAAATGCAATTGCCTACATTTTATTGTCTATACCATCGTGCCACATAACCTTGTTTGATCCACTTGTGAAACAAAAATTAGTTTTGTTCTTATCAACTGATTTACAACTGCATCAGTTAAGATAACACATATGGGTATATCGGTTTAATTTCTTTTTCTATGGAGTCATAAAAGGGCAATTTTTGTGATGGGTAAATGCTTTTCCTTTCTCATTATCTTTGACATCTCCCACCCAAGAAATTTCTTTATTTTTGACGTTTTTTAAATTGTTTGTTAATAGTCTTATCTGTTCGTCATGGGGAAGCTGAATGTAGCAAAAATGGCCAACTTCATGGAGATTGATGTTTTTGTGTTAGTAGCCTGTGCTGAAAATACTCTTATCGATTCTAAGGTATTTATAAATATTTTATTTATTAACAATAACAATAAGAGGTTCCTTACACAGTTTGTATAATTCAGTGGGATATCTGCAATGCAATTATAGATTTTGCTAAACTAAGGGCGGCAGTTTCCATCTGTCAGAACTGACAGGCCAGACCTTTCCCGACGTAACGAGAATCTCACTTTTAATCAAAACTATCCAGCCAGATCAGTCAAATCTTAAGTATGCACGAGGGAAATGGTTTTTCAGCAAAAGCCCTTGGAGAAAGCTTATTTCATTTTCAGAATAACTGGTCCAGCCATGGTGCGGCCGGTCAGTTCTAACTTTTGGAAAGTGCCCAAAGACCAAGAGCCATAATGGGATTTGCAAAGTTTAAACGCACTTCTAAGTGTTCTTTTTTATCACTCAACTGTTGTAATATAAAATTCCCATTATCTACTTTTACTGGTATTATGTTAAAAGAAAATTTTTTGGCGTATTACGTTTTGCTTCAAACTAAACAAGCAAATCAATGATAATATTTTAAAGAACTTATAGTCACAAATACCCACACCGCTAAATGCTATAAATCATTAATATTAAAAGAATAATTAGCAAATAAAAAGATAAACTTTTATTAGTCTAAGGCAAACGTACAACAGAAACGTAAGGTCAAATCAAGTGGAACATGTTCGGTTGCTTTTGTTATAAGTTATTGTAAGTGATAGTGATAATAATTTATTATTATAAGTTTTGTTATTTATTTCCGGCGTCCTCAAGAATAAAAGTATTCATATTTTTTTCTCGGGTTACTCTTATTCAATGTTTGTTGAGTTCTCACATTTCATTAAACAGGAATTCTACAAACCAATAGTAACACCTTTTGAAATGGAATTAGCTTGTATAAGGTAGGATTGATAACAACTGCAAGCCATTTTTGTATCTGAGTGAAGAGCACGTTTCTTTGATTCTTGCGAAGCTTGCTTCTCCCTTTTTTTACCCCAACAGAAATTTAAAGTAAAGCTCACCGCATGGGCGACCTGTTTACTGTGCAGTATATTAAAATGGTCGAATTGTTCATATTAACTGAGTAAATAACACATTTTCTTGAATTATTACGAAACTTGTTTTCCTCTTTTACTCCTCTAAAAGAGTCACTCGTCAGAATATTGTATTCATGGGACCTTGACAAGGTCTGCCTATGCTATTGGCCTGCAAAAGAACAGGAGCTTCAGTCTCTTTCGAGTAAACAGGAATACATTTTACTTTTTAAAAATATCTGGACAAAATTCAATGGTTTGACTATTCAATAAAACCATCTTGGCAGTTACTGATCAGTATTTTCACTTTGCGCAGTTGCAAAATTCGGAATATAAATCTTTATTCTTAACTACTCTCAACATGCATGAAAGCTAATTAAGTTCGATATTATTATAAATTACAACAACTGAAGCAGGTGCGATTTATCGTCTGTTTATTCAAATTGTTAGGGACCGGGAATGGACAGGGGATTATATCACTGATTTTAGAGATCTCTTACCAGGTTTGTGCCTAACTTTGTTCTTTTTTTTTTTCATACATTGACTGAGATAAAAGGGAAATTTGATCGCTAATGAGTAAATGTGTTTGTTTTCAGGTGCGAGTGCTTCTGTCGAACTTTAAGTCTACTTACCGATTACAACATGTTTTGGAAGTATTGAGAAGCGCGCCAAACGAGGTTGTCACAGCGTTCTCGAGCGAACACGGCGCGACCTGGATTCATAAAATTACCATTACATGCAGCTATCATGCCAGTGATTTCTCCTTTCGTCGCATAGTGAATAGTTTGTGAGCGCATCCTCGCCTCTCGAAACATTTGTCTTGTGCCACTATAGAAGTTGCTTCTCCCGTGAACCATAGGTAGATTTCCCGCTTAACATAATGTTTGATAATTTATGCAAAAGTTGACCTCGTGAAAGTCAGCAGTGCATTAATCGACTCAATAATAAACAGACTTCCTCCAGGGTTTTGAACATGGTTTTAATTAAAGTACTTTACGAGCGCCGCGGTAGTTGACCGCAAAAGTGTTACAGTGATGGATACTCAACTGGATGATTACGTCACTTCATAGCAACCAGACGGTACGAATTTTTTAACTTCCGGAGCGCTGAGGCTCGTAGTGTTTCTGGAATGTTATTGTGTTGATTGAAAAAATTCAATCAGGCATGAGAAAACTGAACTGCCAGCAAGAATGTTAATTAGTTTGGGGTTTTGTGGCTAGTTCACATGTCCTGACCTTTGCAGCGATTGCTCATAACACCATAAACGTTCCTGAGATATTTCAAGTGTTCACTCTTTTCCCGGTTGCACTGTATATGCAAATAGCTGATTAAGCTTAAGGTGGCTTGTACAGTTTCCTCCTTTTTTGATGGTTTTAACTTTAAAAGGATAGAGCTAAAAAGCAAGACAAAGTAATAAGAGCAATTTTTCAGAGTTGGATAAATTTGTACAATGAATGCTTGACTTAAAATAATTATTATTTTGTCATTAGCAGTTACCTTGGCAATGTAGCTGACAGATTGTTTTGACCTACTTTTTAACTTTCAGCACTGATAACTAGAAAACTAAGCCAGTTACCCCTTCTTTTTTGGATGACAAGTTTCGACATTAGAAAAAGAAAATGTATAGTGATTTTAAAATAATTCTGCAAAGCGGATTTTTTGCAAAAGTGGAAAATAGGACATTTCCTCACAGTGGAAATTTCCTTCTGTAGAAGTTTTTCATTTTTTTTTCTGACATTACCTTACAGTCCTCTTAACATGTGGTTTGGAATTTCTTCAGGTTGCACTCCAGTTTCCAGATTCTTTTTTGGCTGATTCAGCTGCTGTCACTTCTTTGATTGAGAATAAAACTTCAAAGAGAGCCTTTGTTTTAGCAGACACATCATATGGAAGGTATGGAAAATACTCTTTGTAACAAGCTGTACTCTCCTATGCAGAATGACTGAACCTTTTGAGGGAATTTAGCAACACTGACCCAAACAACCAGTGGTGGGTTCAGACCTTCAGATAA